GCGTACGAAAAAAACATGCAATGGAAATTATTTTCATGTAAGCAGACTATCGAATTTGATACAATTGTGACGTCACCCATTTACTGTAGAGTATGACCAAAATAATCTGCGATTGTACATTGTTTTAATGAAACAATAACCTTCAAGGCAAACTACCACTGACTTGTTATCATTTAAATCTGTTCCTGAGATCTTAAAACGTGAATTAAAATATGAAAATAATGAAAAAAATTTACGTTTGAAATCATGTATATGCTAATGGTAACACGTTTCGGGTTAACACTGAGCAATATGACTTATTTATATATATGTACATAATTTATGTATACACATAGGTATGCCGATGTTGTGAGACAAATTTTTTTGTGACATGTATTTGATGTAGCCGCTGTCGCTAAGAGCGTTTGTTTATAAATAAACAGTATTGCAAGATTACAGCGACCTCGGTGGCTGATGTCGCGGCGTCTCGGCGCGACCGGTTGATGTTCGCGCTTCTCGTTTGTTTATTTCGATTCGAGCCCATTGTTCCATAGACTCAGGCGCATCACGCGTCTCGTGTGAGCCGCGACTATTCCTCCCACGCACTCACCACGCTCGTGTCTTGTTACTACTAAAAGTCTACTATTTTAAGGACGGAATGTCGTAATTAATTGAAAGCTTACTCCAAAAACAACAAGAAAACTGTTTTCGTTTAATACCCTTTATTTATAATTTAAAAAATAATGTATTTATAATTTTAACAAATTAGTGGAGTCATTTCACAAAAAATAGTTGAATATAAATTTGTATTGATCTTTTTATGTTAAAATTCCCAACGTACATTCTCTTCAAGCTATTTAATATTTTTTTCATGAGCTTGATTTGCTAACCATAATACCTTAGTTAACACCACTAATGATCTCAGTTTCATTTACAAGTGAGTACCTATTTATCTTCACTTCAGTGAGGTCAATGCAACTTGGTCAATTAAAAACTAGTTTCCCTGGGTTTACGTATTGACATAGACGTAAGATATAAATGCTTAAATGCGTTATTCAGGATCGAAGCTCGCGCAAGTGTTGCTGTGGAAACCACGTACATCGATTGAACGGTTGTATAATGTTATTATAAGCCAGGTTGAGGAACGGGTCTTACTCGTTTGCAGGACGAGTTGTAAACACTGCTTTGATATGCTTAAGAGCATTAAATCTTCGCCCGCAGCAAGGTTTTTAACAAGACGCCACTGGATTTGCTACCCGTGCATTATCTTAAGAACTATCTGAAGATCGTTGTCCCAAGGTATTTGTACGTGTTATAGATAACCAATGATTATTGCTTTGGGTGGTCTGGTTTCTAATAGGTGTCGTTAGCACAGCTGCAAGAGGAAGTTTTCGCATTATAATAATTTCCTTACATTGCCAGCTCAACACGTCTCTCGTGCCAAGCATACTAATGTCGAGTCAGGTGTTTGTGCTTTTATATTAAGTTAGAAATTATTGAACATGGAATTTGGTTTTTGTAGTTTAGAACCATATTATATTTTGTGGTATACTAGAATACAAATATGAAATTTGCTAGGTATAGTACACGTTACAATGAAAGAAAGAAAGAAACATTTATTCGGCTATTCACAAATAATATTACAACATAACAAGTAACACAAGATTTGTTAAAAAAACAAAAAGAATATAACTAATAGAATAAAAAGTAAAGTTCACAATGTTAGTCGAAAAGGTTAGCCAGCTCAGTCTTGTGCTGAGCAGAGCCTCAGCCTGTTTTTCAGCTGGACCCTAAGAGGAGATACATGGTTTCAAATACATAACATACAAATGTTAAATATTTAAAACCAAGAGTAAAATAAAATAAAATTACAAGACAAGTTACAACATGATAAAACTAATTAAAAACGAGAATATAATTATAATTAAAAGTGATTCTATAAATGTGCATTGTGGCCTTAATGAAGCTATATATTACAATGTAAATAATAAAAATGTTCATAATAATAATGTCTGAGATATAATTGAAATAAACAGCCCGATACAGAAATACGTTACGTTAAGTTAGTTGGCATGACTTATCAGGGTTTTTAGAAAACAAAAATAACTAATTCCGTTGGTAGAACGCTTGCCTTAGATTGGCCAGAATCGTGTTCTGTCAGATCGAGAGATTTTTTCTTTGTGTTCGATCTTTGTTATTATCAATTATATATTAAGCAACGTCACATACGTTGCTCTGATCCCAAAGTAAGTATAAGTAAAGCACTTGTGTTTTGGAAATCGGAAACAACGACGGTACCATAGGCACCCAGACCCGAGACAATATAGAAAAGTTAGTTTTCTACATTGACCCGGCCGGGGATCGAACCCGAGACCTGAGAGATGACGACTCCATGAAAACCTGTGTGCAAGCCACTCGACCACGGAGGTCGATCAATAATAATTATAACAAATATAATAATTATAACCATTGACTTACAAATAAATGGACGGCGGATCTAATACAAAAACCACGAAAAAATGTCCCAAGTCAACCTATATAAACGTAGTGACATGTAAAGGAATATGAAAAAGCTAAAACGTTAGATTTAAATTGTAATGTCATCGCAGTACTGTCTAATTTTGCTTGCTTCGGTGTCAGGCGAACAAACGAAGACTAAAGCGTGAATGACGCTCTGTATACGATTTTAACGCCCTATAAGTTCGGACACTTTTTAGCGCGGACCCGACGTTCATAATTGTAAGTCAATGATTATAACAAACTAATTCCTTATCGAGTTCTTAGATTTTCGCGATTGTTACATATAGGAAATGAAACTATTTTTCATTAACTAAACGTTGGTTTGTTTGAAAAAAAAAACAAATACACGCGACTTAAATTCGGAAAAATTGTTTAACTTCCTAGAGTTACTTTATTAGTTATAGTTGAACCAATGCGCATTTTTCTTTAAACATTTTAGAGGTTAATATTAATCAGATATAAAATATTTCCCTAGCGTTGGCGTCAAATTAAAGCTGGCAGGTAATCCGGGCACATGGTAGGCGAGCTCGTGCGTGACTAGGAGAGGCAGTTTTGATCGCTTCAGGCCCTTTTTGAGCCACGACGGGATGTTAAAGACGTCAGTTATTTCATTACACGCTAGAGAACGGTATTTTAGCACGGAAATTGTTGCCGCGATGAGATCTTTAGGATTGTGCTTTTCAGTTAACTTTATGGTACATTAGGTTTACTTACTTACAAGACTTGTTGCTTGCTTTTGATTGCTGTTGGTTCTCTTTCAAAATTTCGCTGCGATTATAACTCGCACCGAAATTGGTGTGAACATGAGTGATTGTGGGCGTAAGTGCTTTCTACGCAATACTATTTCGCCTACCTTTAGTAGGTACTGTTGTTTGGTACACGATATATTAACAAAAACTCAAACAGGAAGCTCAATATAGGTGTTTCCTTTCTTATGCCTGGACTGGAATGTAGTTCTTACATATTTTTATTGTACGACTTAGAACATCATGTCAAAAGTATAACTACTACATTGACTCTCAAGGTAAGTTGGGGAACGTTATTGAACTTTTTGTAAGTTTTCTGTATACCTTAGACACCAAGTGCGCATGACTCAGTGTTTAATAGACTAAATGGAACGCATTAAGCAGTCGGGAGCAGTAACAAAGCTGTATGGACTTTTATTAGTTGAATGTACTTCAATTACTACAATTGACCTCATGTATAGATTACATTACTATTTATGAGGATCTTTGTTTTCTAGGTCTTTGTTTTGTAAAACCTGTAAATAAGTCGACTGCATTTATTATTTAGTCAAATTTTAGATACGTTCTTTTGCTTCTGTTTATACATATAGCACAGTTTTCCTTTTTGGTTGCTAATTGATACGTTGTTTGTTTCGGTGACTCAACACTACTTATTACTTAGGTGGTTAGAAATGACAGCAGATTAATTGTTGTTTGGTCTGTAGGTATGAGTTATCGCTGTATGAAGAGTTCGGGACATCAGTTTTGATGTCGCTGCGATTTATTCGTTTTTCTGCGACTATCGCAGAGATGAACGTCGTGACTCTATTATGTAATCGAAAGATATAACGGTCTTGCGTTCCGCTATTTGAATTTTAAATCTTAAAAGGAAAGATTGTTAACTTGAGTTGGATTTATGGGTACGTATTATAAGTGTAATGCTATAGAGGGTGAAGAATTATCATTAGAAAACAAGTTCTTTATTGATATATTAGACATTCGTTTCGTTGTCACGTAATCTGTGTGAATTTATTACATGTGACATGATTATACACCTTTCACTTTAAAAAAATAACGTATCGACACAGCGCAATATTTGATCAAAATTTTAATGAGATAAAAAAGAGACTTTTTTAAATAGTTAAGATGTGTTGCACAATTTTTAGTAAATAAATATAAATATATTACACAACATCACAAATGTTGTTCTGGTCCCAAACTATATAACTAAAGCACTTGTGCTGTGGAAATCGGAAACAAGACGGTACCACACCACAAACTCCCAGACCCGAGACAATAGAAAAGTTAGTTTTCTGCATTGACCGAGGAACGAATCCGGGATCTCAGAGATGGCGACGTTATGAAAACTAGTGTGGAAACCTCTCGACTACGGAGGTCGTCAAAATATATTTGTAACGTAATGCACTTCGTTTAATGTAGTCTTAAGTAATTCGATGAAATATTCGTCGTTTCTAAAATGCTTATTTAGTAGCATCAATATGTCTGTGTCGGCCGATCGTTTCGTTCTATTAGTTGGTTTAGTCCGTTGACTTTCTACAAACCTAATTTACTTTGTAGTAATGTATTTTATATCGCCACATTTCTATGCTTCGTGTATGGGTATTGTATTGTATTGTTTTAACTCGATAATCATTATAATTAAAGTTCTCCCCAAAGATATCCGTGAAATAAGGTCTATAGCCATTCTATTGTGAGTTGCATTCGCAAACCTTATTTGGTGTGTAATTGTTTTAATTTCTGTTAATCCGCTTGCAGACGGCGCGCCGAGTGCAGCGAGTGGGGCCGCGCTGGGGGTGCCGCCGTCCTGGGAGCCGTTCTACTGCGTCCTGCAGCAGGACCGTCGCACCCTCACTGCCTACACCAGCGAGGAACTTGCTGTGAGTCTCACACTATGTCTCATAATAGAATGTAATCCATGGTACTGCATGTACACCTCCTGCGAATAAGTTTTAAATGAGTTGTTTGTTTTACTACCATGATATTCAGTTTTTTTTTATTTAATAATTGTAAAGAAAACACAAAAACACATTTACTAATAAGGAAAACGAAAACAAAGGGTACTGCTTATTTCGAACAGAAATTTCTTACTGCAGACCTAAATACAGGAGACTATAATTACAATAACGGGTTTACGTGCACAACAAAACAAAAATTATGATTACAAAAAACAATATCAATAACATTAAATTATTAAACTTTATGAATATTTACTTAGATAACTACATAGGGCGCACTATAAGTTTCCGAAATTGGCCACTTACATAAACAATATTTAAAAAGTAATTACAACATTTGAAAATGGAATTTTTTGGCTGTAGAATACAGTTCGTTTCATCTGACTGTCACTTGTTTTTACATTGTGGCATCATTTTAGAAATTAGATGTTTACTTCACCACGGATTTAACTCGTGAAAATTTTCCTATTATGATTATCTACGACTTTAAGTGTAATTGAATAGCTCAGCGGAGCTTCGCTCGGTTTCAAACTGCTTTTGGCGATGAAGCACCATGCAAAACGACTATGTATAGCTGGTTTGCAGAATTCAAACGCGGTCGTGTGAATCTCAGTGACGAATTTCGTGACGATCGCCTGTGCACTGCTGTGAACAACAAAAACATCGATGCTGTGCGCCGTATGATCAAAACCGACAGACATGTGACATACCATGAGATTTATTAGGCATAGGCATGAGTCAAATACATATAATCAATACTACACAAACATTTGGGTGTGAAAAAGCTGTGCTCTCGTTGGATCCCACACAATTTAAATGAGGCTCAAAAAACGAATCGTGTGACTTGGTGCAATGCCATGCTTACCAGATTCAGCGAAGGGGCGTCAAATTTGGTGTGGGACATAGTAAACGGTGACGAAACATGGATTTATAGTTACGATCCCAAAACAAAGCAGCAATCGAGCGTATGGGTCTTTCTAGATGAGCCGAAACCAACCACAGTGTCGCGCGTGCAAAGTGCCTCTAAGCGGATGATTGCTTCTTTTTTTAATAAAACTGAACACGTGGCTACTGTTGCTTTGGAGAATCGTTGTACCGTGATTAGTGATTGGTGCACGACCATTTGTTTGCCGGAAGTTATTGACAAACTCCGTAAAAATAACCGTAAACGCCGTATCATCTTGCACCACGATAATGCCAGTTCTCACATGGCCAAACAGACAAATGAATTTTTGAAGGTGAACAACGTTGACCTTATGATTTGCCTGGTGACTTGTAGCACAGGTGTTAAGCCTATAGCAAGCACCAGCTCCTACAAAATAATGTTCTAAAATTACTAAGATTGTTTATGTACTTCCTATTTGTTGTTGTATTTTGTGGAGAAATAAAAAGTATTATTATTATTATTATGAGCCATCCCGCGTACAGTCCCGACCTGGCCCCTTGTGACTTATTTATTTCCAAAAATTAAGAACCAGTTACACGGCAACGATTTCATCACCTGAAGAGAGTGTCGAAGAGTATGAAAAATATGTTTCAGATTTTGTCACGGCGGAGTGGCATAAATGTTTTCAAAATTGGTTCATTCGTATGGAAAAGTGCATTAACGCTAACGGAGAATATTTTGAGAAACAATAAATTCATTTCTGACCATTTATAGTATTTTTTTCTTATTCATTCTTGAAACTTATAGTGCGCCACACGTACATATTTCGTACTATAATACGTACAATATGGATGGAACAGTCGATAAATAGTGCTTTTTAACTCTCATTTTGAAATTTTTTCTTGTGAAATTATTCCACTAGTTTGTTATAATTATTAAATAAAGATTTGCAACAAGCACATAGAAAAATTTATAACATATGCTAATTTGTTTTGTAGCTCAGTTTGGGGAGTGTCAGGCACTGTGTGCTGAAGACGCTGGTTCGAATCCAGCCGGATCGAAGGATGTTCGATCTTTGTATTAATAATTATTTCCGTTACTGTACAAAGCATTTTTATAGAATTCTAAAAATATTTTTATTGTTATTCAATGAGAGTGGAAACGAATGGAAATTTTAAGCCACTTCTACTTTAATATGAAATGACTTAAAAATGTCTAAAAGGTGCAATTTTCAATAAAATAGTAGTATAGTAGCTTTACTTTTACGACATATTGTTGATTAATCGGAATGGAATGAAATAATCCTTACAAACATGTTTTATTGCTTATTGCTACATCCAGTTCCAGATACATCGTATAATGTGTTCCAATACATCAACTAACGGACAAAGTCGATTGCCCTCAAACATCGTATTTTTTTTCCTTTTAATTGGCAGCTGTTACGGATAGTGTCTTTCACATTAAATTGGCATTAGCTTGTAAAAAATGTTTTCAAGAATGTAGAACTATTTTTTTATTGTTCTGTAATCAAGCTAGTCAAAAGTGGACGTGGTAATTACTAAGTTTGATGTCAATAGGGCGTGGCTAACGAAAATATGTGTATTTGTGGAACACTCCATATACTCTTGATACATCAGTAATATTTTAAACGAATTCTTTCGTTCCGCTTGATTTATTATTTCATTCATTAGCTTACAGTGCGGGCGATAAATAAAAACATAGGTAATGATTATTGTCTCTATAGTTTTATTCCATTTTGAGTGTTGCACGTAATGACGATTCGTTAGTTTCGAAAAACAAATTGGAATTTCGTTTGGTTCTGCTTTGTTGATCATGATTGGATTTTCTTATTTGGCTTTCGATTGCAATTTTTTTGCTGAGAATTACAACCCTACTGCACGTTTTTTTTTTAATATGACTTTATAAAGCTATTAAGTGCTAAAGCTATTGAATTTATTTGATGTGGTATGGTGTGCTCCCGTACTTGTAACTTCCTGAATGCTTTAAGAAGGGAACTAATTCCGGATTATATTTTTAGATCCCCAGTAGGGTTGATATTGAATTAAAAATAATGAAAAAATATTGAAAGATTCTCTTTTCGCAAATGTTGTTATACTTATTCCCTGTAATGTTAGTTGCCAGTTGTTGTTAATCAGTATGCAGTAACGTTGCGGTTTGGATTTTTTCATAATCAAACCAGAAACTCAAAAATTTGTTTTTGAAGCGCATGTGCCGTTCGCCTTTCTTCAAATTGCATACCAAATTTTGGTCCATTTAGCAAACAATTTGAAGGAATACATTTATAGACAATGTTAAAATTGATTGTAGGAAGTTGGCAACCCTCTTATGAGTGAAAGTCTTGAGTGCATGCGTGCGCGCCCAGCGTTCAATGCGTTTGCGCCGCGTTGTTTTGGGTTGATTATGATCATTATGATAATTCTTACAAATTAAGTGAGATGTTACATTACATTGTATAACTATACGGTCACCGTTCTCTGGCTCAATTCCGATATTAGTCGAATACGAATCGTATTGTTCTTGTTCTCAGAACTTGGTCCCACGTCTTAAAACCACATTTTGTTTTATAATTGTATTGAACGTGGGTAGACCAATAATTGAAATTATTTAAATCCATGAGTCATATCTATTTTCGTCATCGTATTGACGGCTGTTTATTTTAAAAAGTGCCATGCTTTTTGTTGCACCCAGCCCACAAACAAAACACACGCGATGTGCCCACGCATACGGCGGGCGCAGCGCCGCCGCCATCGCCTGCACTCTAAATCAAAATTAACATAACGCGCAACACGGTTTATTCGCTCCACAGATTAAGACGAATAGCCATAAATACTACTTCATTTATTATACAGTGATATTATGTGCCCTTTCTTTATGCTTGTAAATAAACTTTAGTAATAAAATTTGTACACGCATCTTGAGCGAAAATCTGTCTACAATGTCATCATCTTAAGTACCCATAAATTCCGTAATGGATACTCTCTCTTGTAATAACCTATGATTAGGAGAAAATTTACAACGCATCAGACATTTGTACGCGCACGTTCGATTCGATGAGGGGTCAATGTTCCCACTAGATTAAAAAAGCACGATGCATTCATTATCCATACGCGCATTTTATGTTGTAATCATTGTTGGTACCTAAATCTAAACCAGTACCACTACATCAAACGTAACCCTTGTATCCCGTGGTTAAAACACTCATATGTCCTAATAAAGTGACACATTTAATCAGAGACAGGACGTCTTGAACAATGAGAGCGGAAAGACGAACTGTTGGGTTCCGCTTCTCACGAAGATGTTTGAACGGAATTACCTGGTCTTATAATCTCGGTCCATGGTTTTTTTAAAAGTCTATAGTCTTGTTGACAGACGTAATGATATTCACATAATGAAAAGATGTAAGTTCACATGTTACGTCCCTAAAACACATGTCTTCCTTAATGTATGGAATGCTTCCTGAGATTCTATGTGATTACGCTTTTTGTGTGGTTTCTTGTTGACGTAGATAACGTCAAATAATTTGATTATTTCTACGTAAAAGTTACTTAATTTTTTAGTCATTTAAACTTTGAATTATAAAGTAAAGAAAGGGGGTGGTATAATTCTAACAATGAGTTGTACAATGCTTTGTTCTCAGTTTGTTTATACCCGATTGTTTAGATGTTTTATTCCTGTACTTTTATATTAATGTTTTTTTTGTATTGTTACACGCAACCGGATAGTCTTTTCCTGGATTCTATGTGGATAAGGTAAGACGTGTGTGTATTGTCGCTAAATTCATCGTATTTCATTCATGATTTCATTACATCACTAAATTGTAGATATTCTATTTCACAAGGTAACTACGTTTGTATTTTTAATTTTTATTTTAGTCACCTAACATTTGCAAGTACTTTTGTTTAACTAAATGTTTAAAGTTTAACAAGTAATAAATCCATCTTCGAAACGCGCCGGAAATGTGCAGCAAACATGCAGCAAATAAAATTTTAAACCCATAAACAAATGACAGTTTGCTTCCGATTCTTAAAAGTTGGTTATGGTGGTGTAAATAGCAGCACATTTGCTGGATGATGTCATGGCGCGAACAGAGGCCATGGGCGCACTCGACCACGGCAAACTTGAGTACCAAACCATTAGTGAATTTAAAGCAGTGGTTCCCATTTTATGTTTTACTATATTCAAAAGCGATGATTTCCAAGTGTAATTAAACAAAAGAAATATTTTTCTGATATACAGTCTAGCGTTTACTTCGGATTCCGAAAACTCTCGATATTAACTCCAATGGTTTGGCTTGGAGTCTCAAAAAGGGCGATTTTAAGTGAATGTTTTTAACCTTTTTGCGAGTGCCGCAATAAACCAATATAGACAGTGTCGAGAGTAGGTATTGACTAATTAAATTTATCTCTCTGATCGTTCTAAATAATTGTGAGCCGATGATATTTCAACCGCCATTGGTGTTTGTTACGAACTTTATGGGTCTGGAAGATTACGATCGCAGTACACAATGGCCTCTAGGTTACATATTTAAATGAAAGTACGCAGTTTATTTTAGTCTTAATAATAAAGCAATGAAATGTGCTAAGCTTAGAAATGTTGGAAGCGTTTCGTTTCCTCATTTATTATGCGTTAAAGGTTATGGAACTCTGCGCGTGTGTACGTTCCTAGACTGCCATAATATTGAGATATAATTAATATTAGCTTGGATATATTACACATAAAAACGCGTTTCGACATTGCTCTCAATAGAATAGAATGTATTGTTGTCAGGCAGTGGTGAAAATCTTAGAAAAAAATTATCGTAATCATAATTTATCTGCATAAAGGAGTACAATCCCCTTACTATGCCGCCGCGATAAAGCTATTATATCCACATTTAGCTGTCAAATTAGAGTGATAAAACCGCCATTTTAAAAATGTATCACAATAGCAATCATGGCGAGCACCGTGACGTCACATTTTTGTCGCATCGACCAATGGCTGCAAAAGAATATCACAGTGCCAAACATGGCCGCAAGGTTACAATTGATTTTAAAACATTTTGACAGTTCTGCACAGCAATTATATAAATACAACGTAGAAATTGAGCGGGACAAACGAAATGAAAATAAATAATAAAAACCAACAAATTGATATTTAAATAAATTGTTGGAAAAAGATGAGGAGAACATTCTTAATACAGTTTATTACATGTAATTAGAGAAATTGGAAATACATTTATTATTTAATAACTAATGTAATATAAAATATGTAAAAACTGAAATTACAGAATTTTTTGTTTCGTCGTTTTCGCGGCGATTTTCCCAAACGAGCAAAAGAATGAATGAATTTAGTGCGGTATCTTACCGGTTCAATATCCGCAATAACAAAAATTAATAATGATAACATAGCTTTATCAATTGAAATAAATAAGTCACGGGGAGGTTTGTCACACATTGCATATGATATACATATATATATGGCCATGATACGGGCACAGGTGTAGGTGCAAAATTATATAAAAATAATATATACTTAAAAGAAACTTATACTCGTACATAAAATCTCATCAAGTCATTATCTATTTATACGTCTCATAATAACGAGAGACGTTTGAAAAAATCGAAGATACAAATCAAAAACTTTTAGCTTTAGCAGTTTATCGTATTTTATGTGAGAGTCAACATGATAGTTAACTGGTCATAGTAAACGGGATAAGACCAATCTGATCCCGTTAAAGGTAGGCAGTAAAATAAAATTCCATCACCACACTCTAGATACGTACTAACTAGAAACCCGAAACGGGTATCTTTAAATTGTACTTTAGCAGTACTATGTAGCTCTAGCGCTACGGATAGTGATCCGATGATCTCTGACAGTATAAGGCCATCTGAAATAAAACAACAAAATGTTGCCAGAAAATGCTTAGCGGGATATCTAGTAAGTCTTCAAATATGTTTAGGGCAAGAATGAATTCTACTAGACTTTGGTTCTTTTCTTTGCAATAGGAGTAAACTATTTTAATTTCTATAATTAATGAGGTAAGTAGAGTTGTGTAAACGAAATATGAGAAAGCTTTTGGGGCTTTGTAGTCCGTGTCTTTCTGAATTCTGAAATTAGTAGCAGTAGAGCTTTTTGTGAACGAGTTCGTCCAGGGAAGTACTGCCACCTCAGTAATTTTCAGGCATATTTTTTGTGCTCAGTTTTGGTGACAATTTTACTATTTAATTACTCGAATATACACGCAAAATAGGCGCCTTGACGACGAGTTTCGGACACCTGCCCGTTACACCAAGTAAGTAAGTACTATAATATATCATCGTGAAATATTAAAGAATATTTCAGGTTACCACACTCGAATTTAAATAATATATTCTATAAATATTTAAATAAAAAGTAATTGTCACCGAAATTGAGTACAAAAAACTTAACTGAAATTACCCACCCAATTCTGCCGCCAAGCAGTAATTACAGCATTGCGTTCCGGAATTGGAAGGCAAGGGCTCTGATGAAATGACAGGCACATGAGACTCGTCAACTTGTGTTCAAGGTGACAGGCGCAGTGTCACTTGGTATCGTGAAAAATTTTCATGGAGTTCCGTATACAATGGCATTTACCTTCTTGGGAAAGTTATGAAGTTGGTTGAATTATACGTTATACTACCTTCAAACCACATACATATTTCGACACAGTCCAATGACAATAATTACGAATATTGCAAACACATGTTTATCGAAATGGATTCAATGTGTTTACATATCTAGAACAAGAGGTATTCGTAAACATTTTCCTATTTTAATCTAACGTTAGTAAACACATTTTGTAACGGTACTCTGCTGAGCCAGATTGACCATGTTAGTACACGCAGGTGTACAGTCATTGGTGACTTAAGTTTGTGATCGGTAACGCCTGTACAGACGCGAAAGAAACACTTTTGTACACACTAACGTTTGAATTCGAAAATAGTTTGTTGTAAAATAAATTTATTTGAATACTTTGTTAATGAACCATTTTACTCTATTGATGAGTATTTGAATCGTAATAAGTAATTTGATATTTTTAATTACTGTTTTAATCAAAATATTTTTAGTTTGTACAATCATAATATTTATTTGTGTATTCACAACGTAATGAATATAATTAGTGGTGTCATATTGTACATAATACATACTAATATTATAATTCTTATGTTCCATACTCATTTACTTATTTAGAGTTCGTACGCCTTAAGGCGCAGCATAGAGGGTCACCATACATTTATTTATCACCATGTATTTCAATGTATCTACTGTGAACAATGTTGGCGAATAAATATATTTGAATTTGAATTTGTTTATAAGTTACAATTGAAGCTTTTAATTCAAAGTTAGGGATAATATTATTTGATCATCTGAGATGTAATTGACCTGTTGTAGATGTGCACTTTTTAAATAAACGATTTTTTGTTTTAATGTTTGATATACATGTATATTAATTGTTCCATCTATATTAGTTGGTCTACGGATAAATTATAAATGAACTGCATTCAAGGTAACACTATCATTATGTATAAGCTTACTAAATTAATATTTGGTATTCATAAATAATATTTGTCTCTTTTTATTATCGGTCTTTTTTGGTTGATGACATTTATAACATGATTTCAGGACAAATTATATTATAATCATTGACTTACAATTATATGGACGTCGGGTCCGCGCTAAAAAGTGTCCGCACTTGTAAGGCGCTAAAATCGTATACAGAGCGCGACACTCCGCTTTAGTCTTCATTTGTTCTACGGACAGCGCGATACTGCGATGACATAACAATTTAAATTTCGAATAGGTTGACTTGGGACATTTTTTTCGTGGTTTTTGTATTAGACCCGTCGTCCATTTATTTGTAAGTCAATGATTATAATGAATATAATATTAGTATATAAATATAATCAACATTTACTTAGTATTAAAAATAAGTATCTAAATTTTATTTTTAATGCTTTTATATAATATTATTTCTTTTAGTTTTGAGGCCCAACATAAAACTATCAAAGTTAATCTATACAAATCAAACATTGTTTGCGTAGCTAAGAACAGATTAAAATATCCATTGATTTAATTTAGTTTATTTGTCAGAGAAAAATGATCAATCAATAAAAATTTTTTTCCTACTACTTTTGCAAATTTAAAATGCTCATTTAAATACATGCCTAAGAATAGAGGGCGTTTAAGACGAGTCCCCGAGGAGAGGCGGGAAAAATTGTTTTGCTATATCATCACATTTATACCAAAATATAAAAATTGCCCAGCGGTAGCTGTTTAACGACACGCCGCGCCGCCACCTGCTGCCCCGTCAGTCGCTATTGGGTGCTTGACGACGACAGATCTATGTCAAATCTCCGTCTCCGCCTGTTCTTATTTTATTCCTAACAATTGTCAGCGCGCGGGTTGCGGGACGTGGTGACGGTCCCTTACACCTCACCTCTTAAAATAAAAAAAAGTACTAAAAGTTCGTAAGACTGTTGTAACCGGCATTTTTTGTTGCCTGCGTCACCTTGTAATGTACATTAAGATCTTACTTAATACAAGTGCGTCCTCTAGGTGCTTGAATCCTAAGTTTCAAGTTACATTTATATTTTTAACATTTGAGAAGGTATTATATTTTATAATCATTTTTCAATCATGATTTTATTTGGTATACAAAACCGGCAAATAATTACTCTGACGTTCCACCTGATGGAATGTGATTGCCGTAGCCTAAAGATATTTGTTAAAGCCGAGGTAGCCTAATGGT